ATGCGGGGCCTCTTAATAAATTTATTTTTGAGATAGATCTTTGAATTTAATTTTTAAGGACATGTAATTTCAAACATGGAGATCATGAATATGAAAAATAAATAAGTTTTAAAATTAGAAATAATAATTCTAGTAAAAAAATATTTGAACCATTAGTTTCCATTATTTTTAGATGGAACACCTACTTGCATCCATCTTTAAGATGGATGCTTCACACTCTCTAGACCTCATATGTAGAAATGTGGGCCAGCCCACATGAAGCAATTTTCCTTTTATAAAAGTTTAACTTTAGAACCGCCCAATTGCTTTTTACTTTGTGTTTTAGGTGATCTCACAAGAGACAATCTTAAAATATATATTTCAAAATTCCAATTCTCAAAACTTTACCTAAATTCCCCTCGAAATTTACATAGAATAGCCCACACGCATGGAGTTTATCTCAATAAGGTGGAGGTGGCAGACTTAAATTACAAAAAAAACCCCGAGACTACACTTTCTATGCAACTTACCCCAACCTAACTTTTTCTCTCACTTTTTTCCCAAAAATACACTTTCTGTGCAAATATCTCCCCAACCAAATAAAAAATAAAAAAATACCTAAACTATCCTCTCTTACTTTTACCTTACCCACGCCTCTCTCTCCTCTGTGTAAGTGCACTCTGGCACTGTGTAAGTGCGCTCCGGCAGTGCAACACTCTAGAGTAACATGCTCTGGCACTGTCTATGTGTGCTCCGTCAGTGGATCATATGCTCTAGCACTATGTAAGTGTGCTCAAGCAGTGAAATATGGAGTCACAACGCTCCGACACAGAGTATGTGCTCTCCGGCAGTAGATGTGCGCTCCGACACTACGTAATTGCATTCCGACAGTGCAACACTCTAGAGTCACAGTGCTCCGGCATTGTCTATGTGCACTCCAACAGTGGATCATGTGCTTCGGCACTGTATAAGTGTGTTCCAACAGTGGAATCTAGAGTCACAGCGCTCCGACACTATCTATGTGTGCTTCGATAGTGGATCATGTGCTTCGACATAGTATAAGTGCGCTCCGACAGTGGAATCTAGAGTCACAGCGCTCCGGCACTGTGTATGTGCGCTCCGGCAGTAGATGATGCGCTCAGGCACTATGTAAGTACGCTCCGGCAGTGCAGCACTCTGGCGTCACAGCGCTCTAGTATTGTCTATGTCCACTAAGGCAGTGGATCATGCGCTTTGTCACTGTGTAAGTGCGCTCCGGCAATATAATCTGGAGTCATAGCGCTCCAACATCGTGTATGTGCGCTCCGGCAGTGGATCATGTGCTCCAGCACTGCGGTGGTTCGCTCCGGTAATGAGCTCTGAAATTCAATGTCAAATCTAGCCAAATTGATTTCTATGTATGAGAAAGGCATTTCTGTCTAAAAAAAATGAACTTTTTCCCTTGAGGGGTATTTGTATAGAAAGTGTGTTTTTTTGGAAAAAAAAGTGAGAGAAAAACTTAGGTTGGTTGTAAGTTGTATAGAAAGTGTGGTCTTGGGTTTTTTTTTTTTTGTTGTAATTTTTCCTTAAATCTTTTAATCAAGTGTGTTGAATTCTGGGTCAGCTTATTTAAAGCATATATGCATATATAGATAATTAAAATGTGTGGATTTTGGGTTATCTAAATCCTTGGTAATTCCAAAGGGCAAATATGAAAGCACGCCCCACTATATATAGCAAATTTGGGTTTCCAACTCATCTCTTCAAAACGGCGTAGCATCATGCATTTGACCATATAAGCCACATTTTGGGGTTTCTTCTTAACTTTGGAACCCTACAAAATCCTTTGTCCAATGCATGTATCTGACTGAACTCAAGGGTTTGTGACCTCTAAACGTGTTTGGTGCCACCATTAATTTGGCCACATACGGCAACTAAGTCTCTTGAGAGTTTATGGAGTTTGGAACTAACTGACATTTTGTTTGTCCGGTATGGTAAGTTCTCTGGTTCCCATCATCCCTTGAACAAGCATGTGAATGTAGGGTTCAAGCGGTGTTTGAAAAAGTCGAATTCAGCTCTATCTTGTCAGGGTTCAACTCCGATTTGCCATGTCTGACGTGGATAATTTCGAGTTTGATGAGGCTATATTTAGCCAAAAAAAAAAAAACTTAAAACTAGGATAATCGAGATAACTCTAGGTTCATCTGGCTCCATTCCCTAGTCGACGGGAGATATTCCAGATTCTGAATCAGCCATTTATAGTTATGAGGGAAATCCAACTTCACGCTGAGTTCTTTGCAGTGGGTAGGTTACTGGCAGTGTGGGAAAAATCAAATCAGAACGGTTAATCGGGCAAGAGACTGGAAACAGTTCAATCAGCCTAACAGGTGAATTGGCCGAATCAATCGGTCTAATTGAGCAAATCTCATGCGGTCAAAAAAATGTTAAAAAAAAAAAAATACAAAAAAATATAATAAAATATGAAAAACATATTTAAATCATGATTCAACAAAACACGTTCAAACGAAGTTGAAAATCAATGAAAAAAATAAATTATAAATAATTGATGCGTATCCAAGGGTATTTTTTACTGTTTTAAAAAAGATAAAAAAATATAAAAATAAGTATTAATGGCCAAAACAATTTTCAATCTTTGTCAAAATGATGAAAAACATTAAAAAATACATTATAAATACAATTTCTTATTTTTTGGGATTTTATATAAATTATTTTGATTTTTTTTTTAAAACACCTAGTTAGTTCATCAAAACTAGCCACTGGCCAATTCAGATTTAACTGAATAGTTGCACCGCCCGATTTTTCTTATGCTCGTTAATAGGGAATTCAAGAGAAGGCCAACACCATGAATAGATTCATTGTTTGGAAACTCAGCTTGAGCCTCGAACGCGGCCTTCGTCCGAGCTGAGTTACCCGAGCTTGTCTAGGCGCCCCCAACTAAGTAGTGTACAAGGCCAAGAAGCTCTAAAAAACCAAAAAATAAAAGTAATTTTGTTTTAAAATTGGAATAAGAAGTAAAAATCAATCTAAACAAAAAACAACAGGAAAAGTCCAACTAAGCTGAAAAAGTTGATAAAACGTGGATTTTAAAAGAACTAATTTATAGCCGGAAGCATTTTATAAAAATCCCAAAGAAAGAGGTAAACATAGGGCACACGATAAATAAATTCACGAATCATTGTTAAGAACATCCAAGTTACATGGAAAATGCTTATACATTTATTCCACCATTTAATGTAGACTTTTTATGAGGCTACTCCTACATATGGAGTATATACTCAATGTACTCAATATTTTTTAACTCTTAGGTACTACTATTGATTTGTAATACAAAATTTTTCACGAAAATGCACTTTTAGTTATTAGGAGGGGTAGAACGAATATTTTTATAAGAAACTAGTGGTATTCTATTTGTAATTAAAAAACAATTAATGCTTCATAGGGGTGAAGTCACAATTCATGTCGGTATGTCATTATCTACTATAGTTAATAGATGTTTTTTGTTTTATTAGAATTTCTACTTTATCATTTACTAATCACTTAAAGGGTGTGGTTTCTATAAAGTTGAAACCTTAAACAATCCAATTAAGGCATACCTCCAAATTTTATCACAACATGTAATTTTGGCCTAAAACTTCTAAGGATTGTCTCAAAATCTATTTTTATATATAATTATAAAATTTTAAACTCAAAAAATGGTTAAAATCAAGTAGATCTATAAACATATGGAAATCCTGAAAATGGACGGTCAAGATAATGTGTTGCAAGATACACTATTTCTAAGACTCAAAATTTTTTTTTTTTTCTTTCATATTCATATATCTCGATGGTGAGATGATCAATTAGAAGGTTTTTCAATACTAAAACAACATTTTCCAATAGAGTTTTGAGCTGGATATATAATTCTACGTTTTAAGGTTGCAACGTTACATAAACTTTTTTATTACTTAAAATACCCCTAGATAAAAAGTCATGTGTCTAAAAATATTAAATACATTAAAAATATACTCTATATGTAGATGTGGTTTAATTTATTTTTTGTGATTTCTTTTAATCAAACTCTAGTACAAGTGCTCAGATTGGCAAAGGGCCGTGTCCGAGTGGATTAAGCCAAGTTTGTCATCAGTTCCGGGGTTCTTAGGGAAATTCAACTCTTTGCACAAATTTATGATTTAAACAAATAGGGAAATTTTAGCGTTCTTCTATGCTCAAATTTGCTATTATTCAACCCACAAGTTATAGACTTAGAAGTTGCCACAAGTTATAGACTTAGAAGCAACTTCTAGAGAAACCTAACACTATGAATTGACTATGCTTTACCTCAAGCCATTACTGACAGCGATTCTAGACGGAATGTATCAATTTTCTGGCCAGTAAGTCAATAAAGCTTCAACGGCGCCATTTGACTCCTGGTGAAATACTGGGTTAGAGAGAATAGGCCATCAGGGGAGTTGTTATTTAACATGACGTCATAGGCTCCATTTTCAATGAAAACAAATTTAAAAAGGAACACACTAGGTTTGTAAAAATATGTTCATGATACAAAGGACACCGGTATGTAAGACAGAGATGATTGGGTACGAGGAAATTTCATTTCCAAATGACACATTTTTACTATTTAACATAAAAAAAACGAATAGAAGAAAATGTTGTGAGAGAGAGCACATCAGGTTTGTAGAAATGTGAGGTTCCATGACACTGGTATGTAGGAGAGAGATGATTGGGGGCGAAGAAAATTCATTTCCAGATGACATTGATCTGTGCCCCAATTTAGGGGTGAATTGAGAATCATTGGAGATGCCTCATTTCTAGAGCACAATATTCTGAAAATTAATTTTCAAGAACTCAAAGAGACAGCAAGAAAAAACCAATGCCATGCTCAAATGTCACCTAAACTCGTCTTCCGGCCCGGTTCCGGCCCGGTTCCGGATGATCGTGACACCGGTAACTGAAGTTACGACCAAGGCTGGGCTAAGCTGGCTGGAAGTGGCTTGAATTCTGCCCCTATAATGTGTTAAAAAAAAAAAAAAAGGTTATTTTAGATCCGGCTCGGTACTCTCATCCGGATTTCGATCCAAAATTTAAAACACCAGGTTTTAGCAGATGGCGTAAATGTCTACCCTTACATGGAATAACAAAAATAAAATAAATAAAAAATCCCAGATATAATCACAACACCAAACCGAAAATTAAACCCATAAATCTCAAATTCATAGGCATTTTTTCCTCTATACAAAACCCTCACGGACCGGCCGGTGCCAGACTCAAATGCAAATCGACCCCCGAATCCGAATCAGACATCTGGGCAGTAAAACCCGGTCCTACACCCCCTGAAACCCCCGAACCGGCCAGAAAAGCATCTGAACCGGTTCCGGAGAACCCCATGCCTTCCCCATAAAACCCCCACAACGGTGGCCTCGGCATAAGAACGGGCGGCGCACCCGCGTGAACCGGTCCAGAAAAAGCGGTTCGACCGGCATGGGGGCTCAACAACTGCGAGCCTGGAAACCTCTGTAGGCCGTACATCGCGGTTCCCGAGAAAATCTGGCCGTTGGATGAGAAAAGTGGGGCCCGCTGCCGTAGCTGAGCCTTCTTTTGTTGCTGCCTCTCCTTTTTGTGAGCGTTTTGGTGTCCTCCTAACGCCTGAGAGTTCGCGAATTCACGGCAACAAAACTGACACTCGTATTTCCGGCTATTATCCTCTCTGACGGAAACCGCCATTTCCCTGACGGAAACCGCCGTTTCATTGACTGGGACCGCTTGCCTGAAGTTAGCCGACGACTCTTCGTCGGATTCAGTGACCTGGAAGCCAAAGAGTTTGAGGGGGAAAGCGGTTTTCCGGTTGTCTCTGGGGAAGGAGTCGTCGGTCAGGGTTTCGCTCGAGTGGTTTTCCGTGGAGAAAGTGGGGCTGATTTGGTCGGACATGGCGCGTTATGAGAAGATGGGCAGTTTCCCGTCAGCTAGGATTGATTTTCCGGAGGCCGGGATTTTGGGTAGCGGAACAAGCGGCGTATTTGTGGTGAAGAGAGAGAGGATACGGCATGGAATGTGGGGAGGGACCTTTGGTTTTCAATTTGCATGGGCGTATTTATAGTAGGGATGAGAGAGAAAGAGGTGACGGCGATACGGGAGATAGAGGTGACGGCGAGCATCCCGAGAATCTCAGACTTAAGTTTGGGACTCCCGCAAACCGCGGACGTTTTCGGTGCGTGATTGGCACCCCCACGAGCCGCACGTATAAAGCGTAAACGTTTTCTAACCTTTGTCGGCATATACCCGCGGGATCTTACGATCTTTTGACACCAGTGGAAATACGGCCCGGCTCGGAAGTTATGAAGCAACCCAATTTTACATTAGAACCGGGAGCCACCTGATTCCGTTGGGGATCCAGAACTGCTCGGTTCCATACTGTAGGTTTTTCTTTTTAACCCTTTTAACTCCCCTGGCCTGATGAGAAAGGATACTGGCAGCTCATGAAAAACTTTTGCTTGACTTTCCCTAAAGGTTCGGACCCCCACTATATATTTTTACAAATTTGATCTTTTTATTAACTATTTGATCCAGATCCGAGTTTCGAAACACTTAACATAGCCCATGCCGAGGGTTTTGGTGCTCGAGGGGCATTTCAGGGAAATAAGTATTGTGTTTGTTTGTTTAATTAAAATGGATATGTGTGTTTTTACCTGAGAAACATGGGACCGGTTTTACGGTTTTGCCATTGGTTTTGGAAAAGACAGTAGTCTCTAGGCATAGTTTGGTTGTTGAGTTTTAGATTAGATTAGATTAGGCAGAGGTGGGCTTTCTTTAAAGAATTCATTTTAAGTCCACGGCCTCACCTGCCGCCCTGTTCCCTACACAGCAGGCGTGGCGCGGCGCCGCTCCGCCCTTCTCTCTGTCTCTCTCGGTTGCACGTCAATTTTTTTCCGATGCAAATTCCCTCTGCACGCCGTCACAAATTTGTCATTGCTCTCGTCCTTTCTCTCTCCAGATAATCAGCCAAGGAGACTGCTATAGGCAAAATGGGGACAGGGGTTAGGCCAGGTTGTGGAAGAGAAGAAACGGGAAGAAAATTGACCCTTTGCAATTACCAATATTTGGAAAACCTATTGGTGTCATTTGAAGTTGAATTCTCAAAGGAATCACCACTATGGGCCAGAATATTAAAATTTAAATAATTATTATTTTTTATAAATTTAAATATAAATAATTTAAAATAGGGATTATATATCGTAAGACTATTTATTTTTGGTATACAATATTTTTTGTCATTATATGTGAAATCCAATAGATGAAACTGTGTCATAACTCGCAACATTTAAAAAATTTTTTTTTTTCAACTATGTGCCCAAATAATAATGCATCCTCAACCACCCGATTTCAAATCAAATTGATGATAATTTTTGACGTTCTTTTATCAAATGGTCTCATTGTATGCATTTCCTTTAGACTTTAGATTTTAGTCATTTTCTACATATATAAGGGTACAATTTTATACAATAGATGTATGATGCACCTCAAAAATTCAATAGGGAAGAGCATTCTAAAGGTGGAAGACCTTCTATTTATGGTCTTGATCTAGAGATATAGGGATATAAAGGAAAAAAAATTTTAAGTACTAAAAAATAGTATTATTTTTAAAAAGTTATTTATAACGTCTATTTTCAAGATTTTCAAATCTATAAACGTAGGGTTAAATATTTACTATCAAATAATCGCAAGAATTTTTATACCATAACTGCATTTCCCAACAAAATTTAGAGGTACGCCTTACTTGGACACCTCATGCAAATCCCACCCTGATCAAAATTATGATGTTGTATATTGTCACTATTTACTAAAGGGAAAAGTTTATATAAGGTTGCAACCTTAAAATGTAGAATTACAAGTGCACCTCAAAAATCTATTGGAAAGGTTGTTTTAATGTTGAAAAACCCTCCATTTGATCATCTCTACATAGAGATATGTATTAATATAAAAAAAAAATCGTACATCTTGCAACATGTTATCTAGGCCATCCATTTTCAAGATTTTCATATGTTTATAGATCTCCTTGATTTTAATTATTTTTGGAGTTTAAAATCTTATAAATAGATATAAAAATAGATTTTAAGATAATCCTAAGAACTTTTTACAACAAAATTATATGTTATGATAAAATTTGGAAGTGCTCCTTAATTAGATTGTTTAAGGTTGCAACCTTATAGAAAACACCCTTTATTAAAATTAGAAAATTTGAGGCATTTTCCTTAAAGGAACACAGGCAGTTCGAATAGCCTGTCGTTTTCCATGGCAATAAAAACAAAGTAATTGCACGTGCGAAGCACTGCATCCCACGTGACTCACACCCTTTGCTGCCTCACATTTTTGGTAAAAACAAAAAGAAAAAAAAATCTGAACGCCTTGTTTTTCAAAAATAAATAACAAAAAAACAAAATGGAATAGCTATATACGAAAAAACACAGTGATGAAGTCATGAAAAGCCATATACGAAAAAACACAGTGATGAAGTAATGAAAAGCCATATACGAAAAAACACAGTGATGAAATCATGAACCATGCATATTAGATTGTTGTTTTGTGCTCTGTTTTTTTTCTTTCTAGATTTGCTTATAGAGAGAAGATTCTTGTAACCGTTGGATGTTAAGGACAAGATTCAGATGGTTGTAATGGAAGCGTTGGATCAAGTGTGTATGATATGTTTTCTGTGATGTTAGGTGGTTGATAGGATTCACGGTGACGCGACAGGTAGCCATGAACAGGCTATAGTGGAAAGCCTGTACGACAAAACGTACCATTTTTCAGGCCTACTTTCTCATTTCATCTGTAAATTCTTTTGCAGGCGTGAGAGAGAGAGAGAGAGAGAGAAACAGGTGAGTGTCTTTTGCAGGCGTTCTTTCGAGAGATTGCAGCCGTTCTTTCTCATTTCAAGTTTTCAACTATACATTTTAGAGAGAGAGATAGGGGTACCGGTTCCTATTGCATGTGACAAGGTAGATATAGAGAGTATAGGAGAAGCTTATTGCAGTGCATGAGAGAGAAAGACAGAGAGAGAGAGAGGGAGGGAGAGAAACTTGGTTTTGGGGGGAGAATGAGAGAGAGGTCAATTCACTTTTAAGAGAAAGAGGGAGGGATTCTTGGTTTTTAAGAGAGAGAGGGGTCAATTGCCTTAACCCGCCAAGGGTTAGTTCCAAGTAACTGGTAAACTAGCCTAACCAAGCAGGTCCCCTCCGGTTCAAAATATATTAAAAAAATAAAAAAATACAAATATATATATATATAAATAAGGTTTGTATTGGGCCTAAGCTCTAAACAATCCAATTAGAACCTATCTTCAAATAGTATCGATAAATGTGATTTCAATATGGAAAATCTTTGTCATAGCTTTAAAATATATTTTTATATTTATTTATAAAGTTTAAAGCTTAAAAAATAGTATAGACCGATGAATCTATAAAAACTTGAAAGTTTTGAAAAATGAAGGTCCAAAAATACATTACAAAATACATTATTTTCAAAACTTAAAATCTATTTTTTTTCTCAGTATCTTGATGTCAAGATGATCAATTTGAAAATATTTCGACATCAAAACAACATCTTTTAGTGAAATTTTTGATGTAGGCTCAAATTTGATTGTAGAGAGTCTTTATAAACTTTGTGCTCATGGATATTTGTGAAAGTATCCAAAAAAGATGAAAAAATATAAAAATAAATATTAATATGCAAAATGCTTTCATGTCAAAATGATTAAGAACATACAAACACACATTAAAAACAAATCTCTTATTTTTTTGGATTTTACATATTTTTTTTGAAGTTTCGTTTAAATACCCGATTGTACCAACAAAACGGACCAAAACCGAACTCAATTTCTGGTTCTGATTTGGACCGGCCGAGGTTGGTCCAAAAAGAGTGGCTTGCTCTTAGAGGGGTCTGGCCGTGGTGTGGGGGTGGAGTGGCGATTTTAGAGAAAGAAAACCGGCAGAGGGGTGGCGTCAAGAGAGAGAGTGTCGGTTCGCTGATGAAACGGGAAGCGAGAAAGTAGACACTTTTGTGAGATGTCGGCCATCTCACCCCTTTGACTCCTACCCTCTTACGTTGCTTGCACCTTTGATTCATTGTGTGTGTGTGTCCTCCACGTGATTGATGATTTTTCACCTCCCCCTCTCTTCCTAAAGCGAAGAGAGAGTGAGAGTGAAATCGATTGACGTTTTTCACCTCTGCTGTAAGCGTCTTCGAATAAAGCAAGGGAGTGATTTTGAAACTTCAACCCCTCCCCTCCCCTCCCCTCCCCTCCCTCCTATTGATAATAATAATTCTTCTCAGCCTCGGTTATTATTTGTAGTGAGAGAAAGAGAGTGCCATTTGTAGAGAGAGAAAGAGAGTTGAAACGCCATGCACCTAATGAATCCAAAGTACAAATAAAGCTCAAATGCCATGCCAAGCCACATCCACTCAAATGCTCGTAGTTGTTATCACCATGTCCCCCTTTGCCTTTTTCCCCCTTTTGCATTTCAAATGGCACTTTAAGGAGGACTTTAGGGTTGATTTTGGCCCCACCACTCGGAGGTGGGTCCCATCACTCCTAATGGAAACTACTCTAGAAATCAGAGCTTTTACCCCTAAATTCGATTATGGTTCTTGGTTGGCTTGGTATCTCTTCCATGTTCAATTAGATGAGCACAATTCGGTAGGCCAAGAGCATTTGATGTGCCCTACACCATTGAAAGTAGGTGTTTCAAAAGTCGGAATCGGGCCCACCGGGGGTTCGATTACCAGGCGGATCGGAATCGAACTCTCGGTGGGCCCGATTCCGATCCGCCTGGTTCGACTTGGGCGATTCTCAAGTCAAATCGAAGCAATGTTCGACCAAAAAAACTTAAAAAAAAAACTGAAAAACTAGACAATTTAAAGGTGGGTTTGTTTGGTGGATAACTTCTAGTTTTTTGGTCCATTAGGGGAGACAGAAGGGGCAACCTCTAGTTTCTCCCCGGTGGAACCAAAGGAGAAAATGGAAGCTGCCGGCTTCTGAAGCCTAAAACTTCCATAAAATAAATACCCCCTCGAGGTTTCTTGAATCAAAATTGCTTGCTCCCGGTCCTAAGGCAACCCGTGCGATTCCAG